CTCTCTGTTGCACGAAATACCGATTACACACTCTTGCAAAGATGGGATAAAACTCTCAACCTAGTCTACCCAGGAACTCCCAACATCTTTCACAACAAGAATTGTGTTTATCCAACTGTTCCTAATCTACCCAAAAGAAACAGTAAACTCTCAACATAAACTCACTTAGATTGTTTTTGAGTTCTTCATAGAGTATCCTCTCTCACTCACTCTGATTTTTACGTGAAGAAGAACCAACTTTCAAAGCCTCCTCAGCAGTCCCGTTATATTGGTTTTCTACTAACCAATATTTTTGAAGAGGCATGCTTCGGACCAGCAGACAAACCACTGTTAAACAACAGTGAAGCTTTCTGTTTCACCTGCCACCAGTCACATCACCTTGTGTAACTCGCCCAACTTTGTGCTTTTTGCCTTTTTGCACAAAATCTTCTCCTCGTTAGTTGAACCAACTTCTGCACGATCTCTCCCACTTGCGTTCCCATAGCTCGAGACACTCATTGACATTCACACGTGTGATGTTGAATTCACACGTGTGACGCTGACTTCAACTTTGCTTGTCCTGTGTAACACAGGACTCCTCACACCTTCTTTGATTCTTAGTTGCCATCTTTGATGCATCTACAAATGTAAAAGTTAATAGTTTATTAGTTTATTTAACTAAAAACATTATTTAAGTAACTTTTATAGGTTTATATAGATATTAATTTAAAAAAGAAAATTAGCCAAATTCAGCTATTACCATTTACATTTCAAGATATTATGCTAGATTCCGCAAGAAATCACTAAAAATTCAGCTAAATTCTGGAATTCAGGAAAATTCTGCCATATTTCGCTGTTACCATTTAGACCCTTAGTTAAAGAATTTTGTTGTACTTACTTCGTTGAATAAAATGATAAAATATTAACATTTATATATGATATATATAATAATGATAATTTTACAAAAAATGCCATTTTACAAAGAATTTTTTTATGAAAATTGCCACTATTTTGATGTCTTATAAAAAATGCCACAAATTGAATTGAGAATGAGGATGAAAGACAGTTATACCCGTCCTACAAAAGTAACATTAATTATTGCTCTCACGTAAA